GCAACAGGTCTTTGATGACTGACATCCTTACAACAGACTCTAATGGGGCCCTTGGATGGAGAAGTTTGACTGGGAGAAAGGAAGAGGAGAGAAGCACTAGAAATATAGCCCTGCTCTTGGGAAGGGCAAGGCTCTTTTCTGGAGAGAAGAGAAACTCAATATCTGTATCTGAAAGACTGCAAAACAGTTTGAAAGCTTCAGGTAGGAGAAGAAAGGACCGTTGTGTTGACTAATATTTTATCCCCCGGAAAGCCCCCCAGCGCAGATCTTCAGCTTTAGACACTGGCGTGGGCGCCAGCAGAACTGAAATAGGGAACTCTGGGGTTAAGGTCTGTGTGGCAGAGGCTCCCCAAGATCTGTGTGTAATCTTTCTTTCAGAGAACACTGCTCAACCACTATTTTCAGTCTTCTTTGAAGTTCACAGTGGCTTTGGGACTGGGCTGCAGTCAATAAAATTTGAGGGAAGGATGTGAGTCACCTCCCGACCTGACCCATAAAGACCTGGGAGTGATTCTCACTCACTTTTCCCATGTGCTGGCTGAATGAAAAGGGCTCTGAGGACTTGGAGGAAGGTGCAGCCGTTTAGTGGAAAGGACTTAGTCTCTGCAAGACTGTGTGGAGCAATTTCCTTACTGAGCTACCCTGGAAATAACCTTTCAGTGGGTTAGGCCATGGAGCTTTGGGGATTGTTTGATAAGCAGTTAGCCTACCCTAGTTGTTAGAGGGCTCAACTCACATCTCCCTCTTTCCAGAAGTCCTCTCTAACCATTCCAGTTCACAGTGACCTTAGAACTGATAACACATGCCATCTGATTCATTAAACCTGGTGTTTAATCGTGTACTTTTCTGTGTTGTGATTTAAACTAAATATTACCCAAACTGCATTCCATGGAACACTACCATTTAAGATAATATTGCTAGGTATTCCATGAAAAGGGGTTCCATAAGTAAAAAAAAAAAAAAAAAATTGAGGGATATTAGGTTGAATGAGTCTCATGTTCGCAGTACTTGCCAAAGTCCCAAATGAGGTAATGGGACTTGCATATGCTTAAAATGCAGTTCTAGAATACACTGTTTCTCATTTTGATCCTGAGAATTTTTTTCCATAGGGTCATGCATATGATCCTTTCACTTGTGTGTGTGGGAGTGGGTGTGTCTATGTATCTATGTCTTATGCCTTTTATGAGGTTACAATTCATAAGGAAGTGAATTTATTTTTCTCTGATGCTCTGTGCTCAAAGTATGAAACACCATGCACACAGTTCTATAGTATCAGCGTCAAGAACTTGGCCTGGGGAAGAGGTAGATAGAAGGCTTCAAGGAGGCCAACATACGAGTTGGGCCTTAGGAAATAAGTAGAGGTTTTACAGCAGGGAAAGAACAGGTGAGCGGATAAGGAAAAGCATCCCATGTGAAGGAGACCACATAGACAGGCCCACGGAGGCTGGGGAATGGTCAGAGAAAGGAGACTCAGTCTTAGAATGGAAATCAAACAGACCACTTGGATTCTGACTTTGCAAATACGTAACCTGTAAGCTGTAAAGTTGTAACCCAGTCACCTCTGGCACCCCCTCTGGAAAGAACAGACACCACTCCCTCCTGTACCCCACAACCGGAGGCCCCTGAAGGACAGGGATCATGTCATGAATCATTTCAGCTCCCCGTTCCTTTACACAGCCTGGGACGCAGCTCTCCCTCTCTGAAATTTCTCATCTGAATGAGAAAACACAACACTCCCAGGATGGCTATCACACCTAAATTTAAAAAATGCCGGTAAAGCATTTAGCACAGTGACTGGCATACAGTCTACGCTCAAGAAATGTGAGCTACCAGTATCTCTTGCTTAGTAAATGGTTGGGGAAGGGAGGAAGGCAGAAGGGGAGGAGGGAGGGCAGGACACTGGCAACAACAGAAAAAAGGCCGAGTGGAATGCAGCTCTCCTATTTCATTCTCCCACTTAGCTAACCCTGGGAGGCAGATGCCCTTTACCCTCTGTTGCAGGAACAATCCTTCCTTGGCTGCATTTCTCAGAGTGGTTATTTTGGAGACCCTGACGTGAGATATTGAGTTAAACATCAGTGCACGCTGCCAAGGGCAGGGGAGCATACTGCGGCGAGGACAGAGTGGAACAGAGGGTCCTTTCGGGAAGAACACCCGTGACTCCTCACACGTGGCAGCCAAGGCCTGTGGGGCCTGAGGGAGTGTGGGGAAGCACTCTGGAGGGTTTGCTCTGTCTTTGGCGCATCGGTTCCCGGGCTCTGATGAAGGAACAGAGAAGAGTGTGGCCTCCTCAGCGGGAAGACTGTGTGCCTGACAAAACTGTTCTTTTATGACAAAATTCATCAGAGCGCGAGGCCAGGGAACCAAAAATGTGACCTGGGTCTGTGAGGAGAAATGAATCCCAGGGAATTGGAAGACCAACTCATTTGCCTGAAGAGACACAAGGATAAGAAGAGGGAAGTATCCACGTCTGTAGCCTCTCCCCTCTTTCCCCTCTGCGCCAAGTGAGCAGCAAGTGTGGCCAACGGAAGGGTCTTGGATTAAGGTAGGAGGCCCAGAGGGGGAAACACCCTGATGGGCTGGTTCCATGGGCTGGCTCAGGCTGGCCAGACGGCTTTCCCAGAGGAATGATCTCTTTGCAGACGCTTTGCTCCCAAGGCCCACAGCCAAAGACCTGTCAAAGGGGATCTGGAGCCTCTTCTGGAGCGTGTCTACTGCCCCTGGACCCCACAGGAGAAGGCTGCACCGTCCCCAGGAAGCTGAATGGGGATCAAAATCCTCCAACCTTACCTTTAGGTTTTTGGGGGAGAAGGTGCTTAAGTGTCTATTTATTAGGAGACTGAAATATGACTCCTATCCTGAGCTAAGTAGTTTCACAAGTAAGAATCAAGGAAGCTATGGGGCATTCTTGTCAAGATGCACGGGCGTCTACAAACTACTGTAATAGGGAGACTAGAAACATGCTTGCCATTGGGGGATGCTGAGTAAGTTATGGCAATGCACAAAAAATTATATATATAATAATTGTATGACAATTTAATAATTCATATTAATGTCTAACTAGTAGAAAGAGAGAGACGGGGGAAAGAGATGGGCAGAGGAGGAAGGAAGCACATCAAAATTAACACCAATTATTTCAGGACAGTATGACAATAGGTGATTTTTTTTTTCTAGTTTCAAGTCTGGGTGTCAGGAGGAAATTCAACTTTGTTTCTGTTAATAAAATAGTTTCTCACTGTAAAAAAAAAAAAAAGCAGAATACCACCAAGAGGAAAAGAGAAATAACTGGAATCATGGGTGATCTTCATTTTCTTCCCTCATGCTTTTCTGTATTTTTAAGTCCACTATGAGGGATTCACTATTTGAATGAAAATAAGCAACATGTGTTCATATTTTAAAAGGCCAGCCAACTCCAGAAATAACTCTCTCTTTGTCTCTGGGAAAGCATTGGAATTTCTGCTACTGGGCTGGACCTTTGTTTTCTGGCTCTGTGAGCACCAGGGAAAGAGTCTTAAGACCCAAAGACTGCACAGGACCTTAGAAAATTCATTTACTCTCCCTGGGCCTCAGTGAATCTATCTGTAAAATGGGAACATCTGCTTTGCTTCCTGCAAAGAGCCTTTGTGAAGATCAAGTTCACAACTTACTCAACTGTGAAGACCCACAGAGATGTAAGAAAACAGACTCCGGATGAAATGTAGAAACTCTCACTCAGTTGCACTAAACCACTAGAAATGAAAACAGCTTCCAAGTCATTTAAAGATGAAGAAGCCATTTGCCTGGGCAGAGATTAAGTGACAGCGCATGTGATGGTGGCACTTTCCACTAAGGAGGATGTCAGAACTGGCCCTGGCCCTGAGTCCAGCCTGAGCTGCTCCTCCCCGGAATCCTCCACCCCCACAAAAAATGGTGACGTTCCCCCACCCTGGTCTTCTTCTCAGAAACCAGTAGGGGACCTGCGCCCCTGCCCACCAGACACAGGACACAGTCTGAGTTCTTTGTCTGGTACATCAGACCTTTTATTTTTTTATCACTTTTTTGAAGATTTATTTATTTATTTGAGAGAAAGAGAGAGCGCAAGCAGAGGGAGGGGCAGAGAGAAACTTTAGCAGACTCTTCACTGAGCTCAGCTCAGAGCCCAGTGCAGGGCTCGATGCAGGGCTCAATCTCACGACCCTGAGATCATGACCTTGAGATCATGACCTGAGCCAAAACCAAGAGTCACCCAGGGGCCCCACATCAGACCTTTTAAAATCTGGCCCTCACGGGCGCCTGGGTGGCTCAGTTGGTTAAGCGACTGCCTTCGGCTCAGGTCATGATCCTGGAGTCCCGGGATCGAGTCCCGCATCGGGCTCCCTGCTCAGCAGGGAGTCTGCTTCTCCCTCTGACCCTCTTCCCTCTCGTGCTCTCTCTCTATCTCATTCTCTCTCTCAAATAAATAAATAAAATCTATAAAAAAAAATTTTAAATCTGGCCTTCACGCCTAATGCACTAGCCAGTCATTTCAAAATATTCTGCATTTCAAAATATTCTGGATACTTTCAGGACACTGGGTCTTTGCACAATACTGTTCCCTCAGCATCTTCTACTCAGGGTTTAGGATCTAGTTCCAATGTCACCACGGCCCTGCTGTACCTGACAGAGTTGTTAGTGGTTTACTGTTTCCCAAACGCCTGACTTAAACCCCTGTAGTTGTATAAAGACAGAAAGAAAGATGATTTACATATATATGTGTGTTTGTGTGTATGTCTGCATACATACATACATGCATATATATACATATAAACAATAGTTTCCAGAGGCCAATCCATATTTGCGCCAGCAATAATAACGACTGTGATAACCATGGCAGTGATGATGTATAAGAAGACACCCTACAAATGTCTGTCCTACAAGCAAACAAATGAAGACACATTCCTGGGGATCAGAGAGTGGAGTAGGGTCAGGGAGGGGAGCACTGAAAGGGTCTCATTGGAAGAGTCACCGACACGGAAACTCACAGGATGGTCTGCATCCAGTTCCGCTCCATAGCTGAGAATCTGATTGGCAAATTTGTCGAGCTCTTGAATGGTTCTTGGGAACCAGGGCACTGAAACACAGAAAGAGCAAAGTCCTGAGCTGAAGATTGGCAGGACACGGCCAGAGGCCTCACCAAGTTCAGAAGCATGGATCAGCCCCCATTAGACAAACCAATGGGGGGAACACGGGGTCCCATATAACCCCCAACTTACTATAATACAAAAGCTAACTCCCATTTTTCTTGGAAACTATTTTTTTTTTAAATTTCAGCTTTGTGGAGGTTTACCTGACAAATAAAATTATAAGATAAAGTGTACATCATTGTGATTTGACATAGGTACACATTACGAAAGCATTTTCCCCATCTAGTTAATTAACACACACATATTTACTTTTCGGGGTTGGTAAAACATTTAAGTTCTACTTTCTTAGCAAATTTCAATTATATAATACAGTGTTATCGACTACAGTCACCATGGCTTAACACTAGGTCCCCAGATCTTACCTTATAGCTGAAACATACCCTTTTACCAACCTCCCCCTCTTTCTCCCAGCCCCCAGCCCCTGGCAATCACTTATCTACTGTCTGTTTCTATGAGTTTGGTGCTTTTTTTTTAGCTTCCATGTATAAGGGATACCATGCATTATTTGTCTCTGTCTGGTTTATTTCACTTAGCACCTTAGAAAATAATTTTAAAACATCTTCCCAAACATATTCTTTTTCCTGAAGATTTTCTCTGAATTATCTCAACATTTACCTCCCTCCCACCTATTATGGTATAGTGGGGTGGTTTTTGATGGTTTTCTCTAGTAGCAGAGTATTACATGTAACCCCAGAATATAAATCAGATAAAACCAGAGCTATTCCGTTTTATGCAAGGATAAGCCCATGAAACCCCATCTTCCTATCACATATCTCCCTCCCAAAGGTTCCTAGGCATCATCCTGGCAGAATCTTTGATGCCCAAGCCGGTTTGAAAGTCACTGATGAAACAGAATGGAGTCAGGCAGTTTAGGATTTGACAGTGCCTTGTAGTACCTAAAGAACTTACAGGCTTGCTTTTGGAGTAGCCTAGTGAGGGAGTAGATGAGGCCTGAGCTGTGTGGCCTACGGGGAAGAAGACACATGGAGGGTGGCATTGTTCCAGGAATGAACAGAGACTAGGACATTTTGGACTGAAAGGTCCATGAGGGGAGAAACCATGAGTGCATTGTAGTTCAGGTGCCTGGAGGAGAGGGAGGGCTTGGGGGTGGGGGGTGAGAAGCGATGGAGGAAGGAAGGAACGAATGGATGAACGAATGAACTCTGGGTATGCTAACTTGTAAGGCATTCACAACAGTAAGTACAATCCATGGAGCGCCAACTCTGGTCCAGTTGCTGTTTCTGATTTCTGAAGTATCTCCAAAATAAGGGAGGCATCATGACCCCTATTGTACAGATGAAAAACTGCAGGTGGGAAAGTATAAATAACCAGTTGAAGGCCACACTAGAAGTAAGAAAGTGGTAGCTCCAGGACATGGGAGGCTAGGGGAGCCCTGGGAAGGGAGGCCAAGGCATCCAATGCTTCTTCCTCTGAAATGAGGTTTAGAGGAAAAGATGCTGAACTTGGAGTCAGTAAGGTCCGGCTTGGCATCTCGGCTGCATCTACCTGCTTTTGCTCTCTGTGCCTCAATCCTAACTGTAAAAATGGGAATAATAGCCACAATAATAGGAAGAGTAGCAGATGTTTTTTGAGGCCTTACCACGTGCCAGCTACCACTGTGCTTACCATTTTGTTGGAATATGTCTTTTAATCTGAGTATCACTGTGAGGAGTACATGGGAATGTAGGCAAAGGGCGCAGCACAATGTCTCGCCCATAAAAGGAAATTTCTCATCTCAGGCAGGTTGTTTCGGATTCTGGCCCTGCTCAGATGGGGCGGGAAAGCACACGCTTGCCATCTAGTGGCCAGACTGGGGAAACGCCACCCGTGATATCGACATAGAAGAGGCAGGCAAGAAATCAGCCACGCTCCACCAAAACGAGATGCTTATTTCAACAGCATTAACAAAGGGCCATTTAGAGCCTTGTTTCCATAGACATGGGGTGCAAGGCTGTCCGCCCCGTATGTGAGTGATAAAAAGTAACACTGAGTGCTGTTCTAAATACTGCACCTGTGAGGCGGGTACTTGTGGTCTCCCCAGATCACAAACGAGGAAACTGAGGTACAGAGGTTAGGTGGCAAACCCAAATACAGATTTTCCTCTGCTAGGAAACAGAGGAGTCAGGATTCAAACTCAGGCCTGGATGACCTGACCATGAATCCACCTGGCCACTCTGGGGGGTTAGAGCACATTGTTAGCCGGGCTCTGGAGCCTGACTGCCCGAGTGTCCTTGCCGTCTCCCACCCGGAGGTTCCATGCCCCTAAAGCATAGCCCCCTTCTCAAGGTTGGCTCTCTGTGGTCAGTCACAGGAACAGACCTTGCAGTCGTATTCCAGCTAAGGCTTCTCTAGCACTGGCTCGCTGACAGGCACTGTCCTAGATGAGTTATTTACCACCTCACCCAAATCCACATAGCAAGCCCAGGAGCTGGGTGTTATTACTATCCCCATTTTATAGATGAGGATGTGGAGGAACAAGGAGGATAAGTCTCTTCATAGACCTCCTGGGTCCTAACTTCTAGACTCTGGAGTCTGAGATGACTCAGCACCAGGCTCTGCTCACCTAGCACAGCACTTGGCTTCCCACTTTGTCTCTGGAGCATTTCTCCAGGCCTTTTTTTCTTCTTGAGCTCACTGCTTTACCTTGTGCAATAGACCTCTGTTGTCAGCACTGAAAATGGGGTCTATTCCTTACTCAGGTTTGGAAGGACTTGAGAAAGGACATCTACTGTAGTCAGCCAGGGCTCAGGATCCCCTCTGCGACCTTTCCGGCTTTCCCAGGATGTCACCATCCCATCACCTCTCTTCCAGGGCACCCCTTCCCCACTCATTCGTTCTCTCTCTTGCCTGGGAATCATCCATAATTCCAGTAGTCACAGTTGCCGCCAGAGACAGGGCAAGCCAGCCTTGTGTTGCTGCCACCAACCTTCTGACTTGGGGGACACCCTTCACCTTGTCGAAATAGATTCCATAAATCGGTATTCAGCACCTACTACTAGGGCACTAGACATTGAGGGAGTCTTCACCTCTGCAGTGCTTACGTTCTAGTGGGGGTGGGCGGCCAGAAAGAAATAATAAATACATTTAAATAGATAACAATGCCAGGACATTCTTGAAGAAGAAAGTGGGGTAAGCAGATGGAGAGGGAGGGAGATACTATTTCATATATCATCCTGTGACTCCAGACCCCAGAGGGAGGGTCTTGGTGCCCTGCCACTGCCTTGCCATAGCTCAAGGGGATCTGGGATAGCCAGGGTCCGTCCTTAGTCCAGAACTGACTCCCTGTTTGTCTCAGGGAGAGTCGGTCCGGCAACCATCAAGACCCAGCACAACAGGGCCGCCACCTCCGGCCGGAATGCTGTCTCTGTACTTACTATCTGTGGCACCCAGAACAAATTAGGAAACATCTTTGTGCCTCAGTTTCCCTAACTGTAAAAATGGGGATAATGATAGCACTATACCGTACTACTTGACTGGAACAATATGAAATTAAGCAAGTTAATACGTGTGCTCACTGAGAACAGTACTGGTATATAGTAAATACTGTTACTGTTCACTTGCAAGCTCCTGGGAGTTTTTGTTAACCCTGCCCTTAGAGTAGAGAGCAGAGTAGAAAGTCTTCAGGTGAGCCTAGAAAGTCCGCTACTTACTGTGTTGTGTAATTGAGCAAGTATTTTATCTCTCAGAGCTTTAGTGTTTTATCCACAATATGGATTAGAATCATCATTCTATATTACTTCATTTTTGCATGAATTAAATACTATAGCACATGTGACACATCTTAGCACAGTGAGTGGTCCACTGTGCTTTTCTGTATTAACCATGAGGGTGACGAAGAATTTAATGATGGTGATAAAAAAGGAAGAAAAAGAAGGAAGAGGAAGAAGAAGAGAAGGAGGGAGAGGAAGAGAGAAGGGAGACTGGGGTCTGCGTCTGAGGTCTGAGGTCTGCGAAGCCCGTTCGCAGTCAAGCTCTGATACTAATAGGCTTTCTAGTCTTGGGCCTCAGTTTCCCCCTTCTATACAACGTGAGGTATTGGATTCACTTGTTGCTGTAATCCCTTTTGGGTTTTGTATTTCCAGCGCTACCGGAATGCTGTGAAGGGCTGAGGCTGGCCAGAGGGGATGTGAAAATATACTTCTAGTTCCATCAGTGTGTCCATCTTGCTTGCTTCTGGAAATATAGTGACTGCGTTTGTTCGGCCCCCAAAATGCATGGCACCTCCCATTTCCCCTTTTCCTCTCACCAAAGGAACCAGGTTCTACTCCACAGATACAAGCCTTTTTGCCCCACCTACATTCAGAGCTGTGTGTGCGGCCGTCTCCCCACTGAACGCCAGAGGGCAGCAGAACCAGCATTTTTTTTCAGCTCTGCGTTTTTTTGTTTGTTTGTTTTGTTTTTTAAGCTCTTCCAAAGGGAGAACACTAGTTGGACCAATTGGCTTCGTTCAGACCTCTAGGTGGAAAAGAAAAAAAAAATCAAAGAACGTGAGAAGATGGCAAAACCTCAAAGGATTCAAGTCTTGGCAAAGAGGAGACAAAGGTGGGAGCAGCCCACCAAGCCTCAAGCCCTTGTCACAGATACTGTGAGGGACCCCGGACCCCCAGGCAGCACTGCAAGGCCGTGGGGTGCTCACCCCTGTCCAGGGACCTCTGGTCACCACCCAGAAAAGGCCTAGAATACAGCCAGGTTGGAGAAGCAGCAAAGCTTGGTGAGCTAATCATACAGACTTCAGAGCCAAATCGCCTGGGTCCAAATCTGGCCTCTGCTACTTGGTAACTTTGTCCATGAAGCAAGCAGTGTGAAGACCCAAGTACTAAAGGGAAGGAGACTACAGAGCACGCAGACAAAATAGGACCAAGCTTTTACCTTTTTGTACGAAGCCTACACTTTGTTTTACAGTCTATCGTATTTACTTCTTTCAATA